TTTACACGCTCGAATAAATAAATAAACTAAACTAAATTAAGAAAGTATTTTAATATATTTGAAGTATAACACAATTAACAGAAAAGTTGGGAGAGGACTTGTATGATACTCGGTCAAAAGACACTGTACGGTGTATACATAAATAACTGTAAGGGGAGATGTGGAGCCGAGGAATAAAGGTTAGTTGAATTATGGCAAGGTCATATTTTGATTTATTTGTAGGGTAAAAGAGGAAATAATGTGGTAAAAGGGAAGTGGGCGTCAGGAGCTAATAGCTCCAGGAGATGGCAGTAATGCAACAATAAGGACCCCAGCTGTTGCAGAAACTGAATGAAGAAGAAGAAGAGGCGGAGGAAGACGGCTTCTCAAATCCTGCCAGAAAACTAAACACATTCCAGATAGTGGTTAGGTCCTTTCTAAGGGACGACACAATGGAGTTTCTCTTGCACATTAGTTTAAAGAAGGATCTTTTCAGTATCCTGTGCACCGCTCTCCTCCTCTTCCTCACCACATCTGCGGAGGAAGTGAAAGACTCCCAGTGTCACAACTACGCGGGAGGACACGTCTATCCTGGGGAGGCTTTCCGCGTGCCTGTGTCCGACCATTCCTTGCACCTCAGCAAAGCCAAAAGTGAGTTCCTCTCATGAGTTCATCCTGAAGTACTATTTAGTATTTGTATTAGAGAAGTGCGCAGTGATTTCTCTTCCTGGCAGTCACAGCTGCTGCTGCAGCTCCAGGAGATCTGCTGTCAGGACAATGGAAACACACTGTCTGCAGCCTGGGCTCATGTCTGATGGGCTGTTTCTTATTTACTTTAATTCATAGTTGACAGTAAAGCGTGTTGGTCACTCACAAATGAGGCCTAAAACTGTAGTCAGAGGTTTTTTGTAGGACACGTCATTCTATGAAATGCATTGGATTGCGTTCCTCCCTCCGCCCCTGAGACACCTGACAAACATAATAACACTAGTGGGTTAGACTGGACAAAATAACTGAAACACTTAGAAACTATCAGTGGACGTAAAACTCACGTGGTCATGCGTGACTATATATATATTCTGCAGTCTGCAGACAAATACAAGAGTTTAACTTTGGCATAATGCTTAGATCAACTATTCCCCTGCACGTATTCAGTGTTGACTCTTTTTTTTTTGTATGTGTCATCATTAGTTTTCAGACTTCTGACCCCATGGCTTTGCAGGGTTCCCCATTGCAGTTGAGACATAATTCCATGTATAAAACATGCAACTTAATACAAAATGGTCTGAAAAGTAAATAATGATCACATTTGAATGCCAGATGTAAGAGAACTGCAAACAAATGGCCAACAAGAACCGGAGTCATATAGATTTAATTATTTATCAAAACCAAGATGCTTGTTGACATCTCCATGGAGTGGTATTGATGTATAATATAATTGAGCAGAATCTTTAAACATCGAGAAAAATAATAATAAAAACATTTGGAAGAACATATTTAGGCATTATTATGTTATAAAGTGCTTCAATGCTGAGCAATATGAGATGTATAATAATGCAGAACAAAATATTGTGATATTGCACATAAATACAAATACTGCAGACATGGAGATAAAATGACAAATTAAAAGCAATTTAAAGTACATTTAGTTGCATTAGAGTTAAGTTTAAATCAACAACCTTATGACCTCAAAACATATATTGGTGTTAAATCAGCACTTTAAAACACACATCCCAACCATGTCTTTAAATGACAGATACAGTTAAACTATATCTATTCCTTCCTACCATATGTTTTGCTTTCCAACTCAGTCTCAAAGCCTGCGCCGCACTGGGAAGGAACAGCTGTCATTGATGGCGAATTCAAGGAGGCGAAGCTGTCAGACTACAAAGGCAAATATCTTGTCTTCTTCTTCTATCCTCTGGACTTGTGAGTAATATCTCAGACACACATTATTTATCACCCTGTTTGTGTTGTTGCAAATTTATTCTGATATAAATGTGACGTTTTGTGTTCTGCAGCACATTTGTCTGCCCCACTGAGATCATTGCATTCAGCGATCGTGTGCATGAGTTCAAAGCCATCAACACCGAGGTGGTCGCCTGCTCTATCGACTCCCAGTTCACCCACCTGGCCTGGTGAGACCCTGTTCCCCTACACACACAATGTGCTCCAAGACTTGAATGGCTAGAGATAAAACCTAATAAAAACAGACGTCCAATAGTAGATTCTGTAGTAGACTGACTAAAGTGTTTACGGTTGCATCTTAGGTTTTCTTTCTTGGTCGATTTATATTTTCACAACTACTACTATGATTTGTTACTTGGTCTATAAATGGTAATACATAACAATCAGTGTTTCCCAAAGCCCAAGATGAGGTCTTCAAACATCTTGTATTATCCACATCTCAAGGATATTGACTTTACTCTCATATATGAGTAAAGAAACCAGAAAATATTCTTAATTAGGAACCTGTCATAAGAGAATTATACATTTCTCAAACAAACAAATACATCTATTTATCATAATTGATTTATTTTATAGTTGAGGGGAGAAGTGCTTCATTTAGTTGTTTTACCATTTTCCCCCCATTGATTGTTTATTTTTGGTTTGATAATAACTTGTTTTTTACAACACCTGAAATTTTCCTTTTTCGATTTTTGTTACACTTTTTGTTATTAACAGGATAAATACGGCCAGAAAGGAAGGTGGACTTGGCCCAATGAAAATCCCTCTGCTGTCTGACCTCACGCACCAGATTTCTAAAAACTATGGAGTCTACCTGGAGGACCAGGGACACTCACTGAGGTAAGATTACACAATTACATGTATGGCCTTTATCAAAGGTTTATAGGCTTAATCAAACCCTGTTATGTATCCTTGAGGTGCTTTAAAAATAAACAACAGTCGAAGCAGGCATGAAACACTTTTTAACTGTAGAAAAAACACATTTGATGTTTCTGCATGTGGATAAATATGCTCCATAACTTATATCTCATAGATAGCTGATTCTTTTATCAACTATGCAAATGTTTGAGAGTGTACAGATTACACATTTCAGTAAATCTTAAATCTCACTCCGTGTCCCTGTGTCTCTCAGAGGGCTTTTCATCATTGACAACAAAGGCATCCTGAGGCAGATCACCATGAACGATCTCCCCGTGGGAAGATCTGTGGATGAGACTCTGCGGCTCGTCCAGGCCTTCCAGTACACTGACAAACACGGAGAAGGTAAAAGAAGCTCATTTAAACGCATTACCTGGCAACTAATAGCCAGTTGTTAATGTACTATTCAAGCTGTTTTTCTTGTGTTGACTCTAATTGTCTGTCATTTTTTTTTACAGTGTGTCCAGCAGGATGGAAGCCAGGCAGTGACACAGTGAGTATCAGTGAGGCTGTGAATGATTAGGATCGTTTGTCACTAACTAAGTTTTTCTATGATAGATACATAGACAAAGTAGCATGTATATGCCATTTAGTCGGTGTGCAACCAGTTACTGCAACAACTAATACTGTGTCTTTTTTTGAAAATATATTTATATTTCACGAATAAGTTAAAGGAAACAGACTGCCTCCATATATATTGTTCCCTCACAGCAGATTTGGGGTTGGAGAAATAATTGGGAAACACATGGCAGACTAGTTTATAGCATGTTTAGCATATTTATATTGTCAAGTATAATATTATAAGAAAGTGTAATTGTGAACTAATTGAATTACTTCTCTCCCACAGATCATTCCCGACCCTTCAGGCAAGCTGAAGTATTTTGATAAACTGAACTGATCTGCGTTACACTCGGCCCAGTCTGTAAAATACCAAAAGTCCAAATAAAAAAGTGTTTTCATAAAATGCTGTCTGTCTGCTATTTTAGATCCTTCTGAACAGTTTTTGCTAAGCTCATGCCTTTGGTTTACATTAGTGCAGAAGCCTGCATCATACTGGGAATAAACAGCTGTCATGATGTGAATTCACCCAGTGACTGCCAGATGCTCACTAGCAAATACTCATTACATTACATTATTACTTGTTAGACGCTTTTATCCAAAGCGATTTACATACTCAATACTGTGGGCAATCCCCACAGGAGCAATTTGGGGTGAAGTGTCTTGCCCAGGGACACAACGACATGCTGACTGCAGTGGGGTTTGAACCTGTGACCCCCTGATCCGAACACCTTTAAACACAAACATAAACAAACTAGGGATTTTAAAACCAATTGTTGAGTGTTTTTACAGGCGTAATATGTTTTCTTTTTAAAACATTGGCACAGGATTCTGGATGCTACATTCTCTACAAGTTGTAAGCAAGGAAAAGTGGCTTGGTTGATAACAAAATACAAGTAGTTACAGTGGTCGATTATCTGTCTTGTGGCGCATCCATTTATTGTCCTGTATGGTCTACTGAAAGGTAATAATTTTGTTACGTGGTGTGCAGGTGAAGCTGGGTCACGGATGATGATTAAGGCCTTGCACTGACATCAGGTAGTACATTTCCTCTATTGAAGCCATCTGTGTCCCAATGATGTTTCAGAATGTCTTAATGACCCTGTTCAGAGCTACAGTATGTGTTCCTGGTGCAGCTGGCATACTACGCTATGATGCATTATGTCAAGATAATCGCAGCCTTGTCTGTCCCCTCCTCCAACTTTTTTATTGGAGGTACAACTCAGATTTGCATAAATAGATCAATAAAAGTTTTTTTGAGCAATGCAAATATTAGTTTGACTGTCTAAAAAGATGCAATTGGGACCTGCAGAAGGACAATTTATCATTACATGTATAGAAATTGCGCTCTGTCCCATATGGGTTAATCTTTACTCAACCCTATAGCCATTAAGCGCCTGGTCTGGTTTTTTCCAGGTTTGGTTAATCATTACCTTTTAAACAACATGCAAATGAAGTACAATGATCAACACATTGATAAGGAGTCAGCAGGAAAAGAGAAACAGGATTTAAAACGCTGTTGACCATATATGGATTATTGAGTCACCTCCTCAGTGACATATAAAAGGGAACTCGGTGAGCTTGCTGTGCCACTTTTGTGACTCAGCCAATGTAGTTCTGTATACGGCTTCTTTATTCTTTGTCGGGGGATGTACTCCTGAGTAGCGAATGACGAAACAAATTTTGCTAATATTCACATTCCGAGGATTAGTAAGAAAAGGGAAAAAGGGGAAAAGGAGAAAATGGCCAGTTTTATATTACGGAAAGCTGAACCCAGAGACGTGTCCGATATCATGCGACTCATAAAGGTAAGGGAAATGTTAAAGTCTAATATTTTTAACAAAAGGACAATTGTGAAATGTGACTGGATTACTGTAATCTCCATTAATCAATTGTGTTTCAAGTTTGAAAACTGAATTTGTGTTTCTTTGTTTGCCTTTAAGGAACTAGCTAAGTTTGAGGAAATGGAGGAGAAAGTCGTGCTGACAGAGAAAGGTTCTTTAACCCTCTTTAACATTATGTGCATACATTTACCAGGATTTTCCAAAAACTATTTCAATCTTCTTCATACATTAAAATGAAATAAATGTCTCTCTTGTAGATCTCCTTGAAGATGGCTTCGGAGATCACCCATTCTACCACTGTTTGGTTGCTGAAGTCCCAAAATTGCAGAGCTCAGAAGGTAAAAACATATCTAACACAAAACTCTTTACATTTAAATAGTCCTATTTCAAAATACTTCATCCTGTTTTTATTACATGTACAGCACTTTGGCTCGACCAAAAATCGCTTTTAAATGTGCTTTATAAATAAAACTTGATTTGATTTGATTTGAACCTTGTTAGTTTTACCTTGTAGTGATCACTGTAGGTGTTTTCTTCCAGGGTACACTGTGATTGGATTTGCCATGTACTACTTCACATATGACCCTTGGATTGGAAAGCTGCTCTACTTGGAAGACTTTTACGTCATGCAGGAGTTTCGAGGTGAGATTGTCAACATGTGCTGTTATATAATGGTAGTAAAGGTTAATGAGTAACAGCAAGAGTCTTAAGGGGGGAATTTGTAACATTTTCTCTTTCGACAGGTTTGGGCATTGGTTCAAAAATCCTGAAGGTCCTGAGTGAGGTACGATAACCAAGTGTTTATTTGGTGACAGATGCAACTCTATTCAACTGTGTTCAATACTTTATGTCTTTGTGTTTTATGTTTTTTTCTCCCACTTTAGAAGGCAGTGAAGACTCGCTGTAGCGGCATGCACTTCCTTGTGGCAGAAAACAACACAAAGTCTATTGAGTTCTACAAGCGAAGAGGAGCAGCTGATCTCTCGTCTGAGGAGGGCTGGCGTCTTTTTGAGATTGAAAAGGATGATCTGCTGAAAATGACTGCCAAATAAGAGTTTATGTACTGTTGAATGACTTGTTCTGACAGTTTGTGATAGCAATAATCATGTTTTTTTCAGTCAGTCTTAATACATTTGACCCTGTTTCTGTAATGTCATCTGAAATGTAGCAAGACCTCTGCTGAGTGAATGTTTTGGAAATAGCTATACTTCTGGAGGCCTGTAGTGACACATTTCTTGAGTCAAAAACAATAAACTTGATTTTGTGTAACAGAATTTTGGTTCCTTTTTTTTTAAATGAATGAATCAGCACCTCTCTCTTATGTTGCAACCCTTTGTGTTGCCCTTTCCCGCAGATCAGGAACACTAAAGTAGTTATTTGAAGAATACATCTGTTGTTTTTGACTTTTTGCATTTATATTCTGTACTGCCATTACAATAAATCCATACATTTTGAAATAACTTCTGATTTAAAAGATACCCAGGAAGTACCAGAAATCTGGGATTTTCACATAATGATTTTAGTTTAGAGACTGATGTAAGTCTGACTAGGAATGTACTTTTTGTTGTAGTATTACAAATATCCTGTTACAAAACAATATGTATCCTCATGTGCGAGTGGCTTAGAATGACTGGTCAAGTTTTGAGAGCCTTTAATTAGGTAAAAGAAAATTGCATGATAAAAATTACCATTACAATTTACCATAGAGATATAAATCAAATTTTAAACAAATATATTGTAAAACTACTCATGTAAAGTACTAAGTAATACATCCAATGTGTACTTAAGTAGTAGTACATTTTTTTAAAGTTTTCTTCCAGTGTTGTTGAGATGTGGAATATTTCCTTTTTATTTTCTATTACCTATGCATGCATCACAAATATCTTATTGGATCCTATAAAATATTATTTTAAGATTTATTGGACTTTTTAAGTTAATTGACCAGGAGGCTGAGGTTCTTGTGAAGAAACAGTAAGGTTTAATGCAGTCAGGATTAAACTGAAACTGTGATAGGTGTTTCATTGGAAACATGTCAGCTATTTGTTTAAATGTTGGATGCTCTCGGTTTGGAGGACATAGTATAATCTCTTTTTATTATACACTTCTTCGCTGCATAGTTACACGTCTACTGTTGGGGGAAACGAAGCCGTTCTCAGCCCATTACTAGCTACATCAACCTCGGGGCTCAAACTAATTAAAATTAACACTGCATTGCACGTCTTGACATAACCCGTTAGAACAGCGGTGCTCAGATTATGGCCTGTTTGGTGCCTGCCAGTGTGATTTCCACCACAACCCTTCCGCATTTTCCTGCTGCTCTCGGGCTGTGACGTGTCGTGCTGACGGCGGCCTCGGAGCTGGAGGAGCAGGGGGCTGTAGCATGACAAGAACTGGCTCCAGACGTCCTGCTTTGCTTTCAGCCGAGCTCCAGAAACAACCCATAACCCCTCCTTCTCCGCTCCTCTCCGGCCCGCCCAAATAACACAAAATTCCCGACTGAATCCAGCCCGAGTCTGGGGGAACCAGGCGGCCTGGGAAGCCGAGGTGTGGACGGAGGCCATCCCTGCAGCATACATCTGGTACGCGGGTCATTTTTTGCTCCGGGCCACCCGTTTGCAAAGCTATGTTTGCATTTGTGCGTGTCCGTGTGTCTTTGTTTTTGCATGCATGTGGTATTTTAATTTATTTCTTCATTGTCACCGAGAGGCCGCAAAGGGTTGGGCCTTTTCTTCTCAGGCCCGGGCCCCCATAGAGGCCGTAATTGGTAATTCAGGCCTATCCTGTTAGCTAGCATTCCCGCTGAAAATATGGTTTTATATGGATTTTGTATATCCATGGCTTACGTTATTTGGGATGAAATACAAGATTTAGTGAGCGTTATAGCTATCAACAGAATCCAATTAGCTATTTCTCATCGCCGAGGTGTATTTTCATTAAGTGTTGAATTAGCATTCGTCCAGAAACCAAGCTAACAAAATGGCGGATGCTAGTGTGATGAAAATCGGTTGTAGAAAACGAGTGTGTTTAGCGCTCCTCCTGCTAGCTTGCTGCTGCAGATTCGCTAAAGTGTAAACCTAGACTAATCTTTCTCATTTATTTAGGAGTTTGATCCTCCTTCGTGCATGTGGGTGCAACCTTTCTTTGCTTAAATGTGTGTTTTTGCAATAAAAATCGGGGCTTTGCGTGTGTAATCAGTGCTAAAGCTGCTCCAGTGGTCAGTTGAGGACATTACCGTTAATCAGCTCTTCGTGCTTACACTGTGTCTAGTCTGGTGTGAATGTGTAACGCAGGCTAAGTTAGTGAGACCACCCTGGTTTTAATGTGTTGGCGGCATCTTTTCAGTACACCGATGCCCTGTGTTGTGCGCCACATCTCCACACACCGTTGTTATCATTTTCCACCTGGAGGTGGGGGATGGTACATTCAGTGGAAATTAAATGGCACCCCGGCTGCATCGTTCACACCACTGTTTACATTTCTGCACCCCCCCTGTGTGTAACGGGGAGATATTTCGATCGCACATTATCTCATCTCCATGGTGAAGGAAACACTATTACCATTTTGGTTGAACGATTTGTTTAGTTGTTGTGGCTGATGCAGACAGTGCAATTATGCCACTTGATGTCCTTTGCGGCAGACACAAGCTAACACTGCACAACTGTATTCCACATGTTAATTTAAATGCCTCCCCTCTCATATATACACTCAATTCACCTGTGAGGTCAGATTTATTTACAGTGAAATACATATGTTTTTCATCAGGTGACTTTAACAAATCAAATACAACTCTTCATAGAGGAACCTGTTCATTGCAGCAGCAGAATAAAACACGGCAAAGTGTGAAGTAAAACAGAGTAGTTGGTTGGTTTTTAACAAGAACACAACTGACGGCATAATAACATAATATGAATTGAAGGTAATGTATTTTAGGACTGAGTTGCTTTTGGTTTCTACACTAGTGTTGATATGATTGAGTATTGTGAAGTACAAATTGTAAATATATTTTATGCTAGTTTTTAATATATGGGTCTACAGAGTTGGACACATTTTGGTCTCAACCAAATATGTAGTGAGGTTTGAAACTGTCTTAGTCCTAGAAAATGTCACATGTGCACACTGTTTACATTATCAAGGTGATGGCAGTCAATTCCATGTTTTCCTGAAAGAAAACTCAACAGACTACAGTCTTTAAAGATGAATATGTTTCAGCTGTTAGGTGTTGCTCAGGCTTCAGTAGCTGTGTAACACAAGGCCAGTGGTCTCTTTATCATGTGAATCAAATTATCAACATATTGGCCAAACACACATTAAGTTGCTTCTTCAAAAAGCAAAGGATAACAGGCTCATTGTGGCTTTCCCTTGCCAGATCTGTTAAATAAATGACTTGATTCTGTTCAGGTTAACATTCACGTTCAAATCTTGTTTGAGAATCTTTGTTTCCTGGTTATTTCAAATCACATTAATTACCATGAACACCTGATTTTGATTATGTTTAGCTTTGTTTCAAACAGTTTTGTTCACAAAGATCTAAACGGACTTTCTATCCTTTGCTTTCAGCGCTCCACTAACAAATGCATTGCGAGGACAATGGATGAGGATGTCACCAGGCTATCAATACATTCTGAAGAGCCTAAAATAATATTACACGGATCGGGTAATTAGCAATTTTTTGTTTGTTTTTGGTATGTGTCAATTCTTATTAACATGTTAGAGTTTCAAATAATTGTCTGGTGTCTGTAGTAAACCAGTAATATAGTTACCATTTAAATAAATCCACAAACACTAATATCGTTATCTGGGTAATCCTGCTTCTTCCAGATGAGGGTGGTGCCGGTGGGCAGGAGTTTGTTGTGGAGCTTCAAGAGACAGTGTTGGTGTCCGAAGGCGAGGGCGAAGGCATGGCGGTTCACAGGTTCGCGCCAGACGAGCTCGTCATCCAGGATGCTGTCGAGGATGTGGTATCTGAGTATGTGCACTGCGATGAAGACGAGGACGTAGCAGTGGAAACCTGCGTGATGGCTCTTGATGGCGATGAGGAAGGAGTTGCCATGGGAGACATCCCTGAAGATGGGCTGGACCCTGAGGAGGAGGACGACGACCAAGATGGCTGTGGGGATTATCTCATGATATCCTGTAAGTTTACACATGTTTTCGCTAAAACTCACTAATTCATTAACATAAATATCATGTAAATGCTCCCAAATTTGGAATTTATACTAAGCGAAATGCTTATTGTCATCTTCGGTCTATGGGCAGGTTAGTGTTCTATCACATCTCTGCTCAGTGGAGGACTGCGGCTAATTTTTTTTTTTTTAAAACGACCAAATTGTGACACTTGTGTTTTAAACTCGTGACCGTGCAGCTTCAGAGTTTGTGAAACATTTCAGACTTTCATTTTCTGTTTTATATTAAGCATCACTGGTTCATAGCCACATGATTAACACAAGCAGCCAGTATACGTTAACTGCAATAATTACAAGAATAATTGCAGCAATTATTGCCCCACTGTACATTTTCCTCGTCTCACAACCCAAAGTGGTACACACTCTGTAAATGGGTATGATACACACTCGGTGGTCATTACCACCAAGTGTTAACCTTCAATCTCAACTGCTAGTGTGTTAGTGGACCCGCAGTAAGAAATGTTGGACTCAATTTGTATTTCAGTAGTATTGAGGAACCAGAACTCCTTCTAACCCAACATTTTTGGATTTAATTGTTGCCACTTTAGAACTGACTAGCTAATATGTATTACTATTCAAAAGAGGACTATTCAGAAGAGATGGTGTACAAATTGAAATGAGTGAAACTATTTCCAAACTTCATCTTCACTTTAAATAATAGTGACAAGGTAATAAGCATTGATGTTGTCAGAAATGACTCTCGACCCCTTGCATCATGTCTCTAATGAAATGTGTTGTGTGTGTCTCCTCGCTAGTGGACGAAGCTGGCAAAATGGTGTCCGAGGATGGAACAGAGGTCACAGTGGAGGGAGCTGTGGAGGACCAGGAAGTGGAGAAGGATGAGGATGGGCAGGAAGTGATAAAGGTGTACATCTTCAAGGCTGATTCTGGCGAGGATGACATGGGTGAGTTACATTTAAACCTGTAAGAAAGTGATTGCCACTAAATACAAAATAAAAGAATATGCTTTATCTAGCTCACAGTTAAAAGTTGTTGTTACATCCACCACTCGGCTCTAATAAGATCAAATAGTAATGCATTTAAATTGTCTTGTTTATTCAAAGAACCTTGATCTGTTGTAGAAGTTATTAGCCAATGTTATTGTTTCTGGCTTCAACTGAAAACTGGTATCTTCAGGTCTTGAAATGATTTAAAATGTTATTCAGGTTCCAATAACGAGGGCCTCAAAAGTCTTAATAATGATTTGCTATTATACTTGAGACGATATAGTGAAAATGGTGGTGAGGGCTCAGTCTCTCTGGGGTTGAAAAATAATGTGTCAGATTTTCCAAAAGTGGAGGATTTTAAATGGTTTATTTTAATTCTGCAGGAGAATCGGTTGACATCAGCGACGGAGACACGGAGAGTGTGGCGTTAACAGAGTCTTCAGGCCTCCGAGAGAAGATGGTCTACATGTCTGTCGGGGATTCTCATCACAATCAAGGAAACCACGGTGAGTCTGTCGGATCCAACAATTGTGATGATATCATGAAGCTAAACGTTACTAGTTTTTTGGTCATGTAAATGTAAGGCTCCTCAACAGGGGGGACCAAGGTAGGGCTGCACGATATTGGAAAAAACTGACATTGCGATATTTTCTTCCCCTGCGATATATATTGCGATATGAAAAAATACAGGAATTGAAGAAAAGACAGTTTTTTTTGTCCGCAAACCATCCTTTCTTGAACTTTAATGCTATACAATTGGTATTTTCTTAACAATATTTAACCGGTAGCTCGGTTATCCTGCTGTGATCTGATCAAGAATGGTTGTGATTGGTGGTTTGCTGTCACTCAAGTACCCCTGACATGAGAGCTGCGCGAGTTTTCCTTTTGTAGCAAGCAGCAAAAGAATTGTAACATGACGTGTTTGAGTTCATTTGCCTACTTAATATCGCACGTATACAAAAATTAATTTAAATTAAATTATAATTGCACGTCCTGCGATGTGAATATCGCGCATGCGCATAACGCGATTATCGTCACGACACGATATATCGTGCAGCCCTAGTCCAAGGTTTATATAGAATTGGTGGAATACCCAGTAACTCATGACCACTTATGTGACAGTGTGTCTCTAAGCAAGGACTTCATGCCTCTGGCCTGTACAGCTGCTTATGGCCAGCACCCCTTTTATTAAATTGCTTTTAAAACCACACTGGAAGCCTGTGCATCAACAGTGTCTTAGCAAAAGCTTTACAGATGCCAGTGTTGTTTATTTTCCTGGTTTAAGACATTCTGTTGGTCTCACATGTGCAGATGATAGCGAGAGTTGTGAAAACAGAAACGGTGCCGCCAGTGCTCTGCTGCACATCGATGAGTCTGACGGGGTGGATGAAATCAACAGACAACGCAACAAGAGCAGGAGACGGTCGGAGCCTCGCCAGGTGCAGACAGGTAAGAGCAACACGAAGTTCATGGATTGTTTTATAATCGTTGCACAATACAAATACTGTTTAAATCATAACTCTTAAAGTGGAGCTGTTCAAAGCTCAGCAAGAGCAGAAATGACACTTGAAGCTTTTTAAATAAATGTTATTTTGTATCACTTTGAAATGATTGGTGTCATCTCTGTTTCCCTCCAGCCATCATCATCGGCCCGTACGGTCAGCCTCTCACAGTTTACCCCTGCATGCTCTGTGGTAAAAAGTTCAAGTCACGGGGTTTCCTTAAACGCCACACCAAGAATCACCACCAGGAGGTTCTGACGAGGAAAAAGTACCAATGTACAGACTGTGACTTCACCACCAACAAGAAAGCCAGCCTCCACAACCACATGGAGGTACACGCTCTGAACAGCAAGGCCCCTTTCGAGTGTGAAATGTGCGGCAAGGAGTTCCACCAGCAGGCGGCGCTGTTCTCTCACAGATTGCAGCACCACCACCGAGAGCCCAAGGGCCAGTCGCCCACAACGCCAAACAAGATGCATAAATGCAAGTTCTGTGAATATGAAACGGCCGAGCAAGGGCTGCTCAACCGGCACCTGTTGGCCGTCCACAGTAAGAGCTTCCCCCACATCTGTGTAGAATGTGGAAAAGGCTTTCGACACCCTTCGGAGCTGAAGAAACACATGCGCACGCACACGGGCGAGAAGCCCTACTCCTGCCTGTACTGCGACTACAAGTCGGCCGATTCCTCCAATCTCAAGACACACATCAAAACTAAGCATAGCAAAGAGATGCCATACAAATGTGAGCGCTGTTTCCAGACCTTTGCCGAGGAGGAGGAGTTAATGCAGCATGGACTAACGCACGAGGAGAATAAGACCCACCATTGTGCCCACTGTGATCACAAAAGTTCCAACTCGAGTGACCTGAAACGCCATATCATATCCGTTCACACCAAGGACTATCCACACAAATGTGCCATTTGTGGTAAAGGCTTCCACCGACCGTCTGAACTGAAGAAGCACTCGGTGTCGCACCGGACCAAGAAGCTTCATCAGTGCCGCCACTGCAACTTCAAAATTGCAGACCCTTTTGTTCTCAGTCGCCATATCTTGTCCGTGCACACAAAGGAGCAACAGTCCTCTCCTGAAAAGAGTGAGTCGGGTAAGAGGACAGAGACACACACTCCTGTTGTGTCGCCTAAAAAGTCTGCAGCCAGCGCGTCCAGCGCTGCTAGCCAGGCCAGCAGAGTCAGTGCAGCCAGCTTAGCCAGCAGTGTGACTGTCGTCATTGGCAAAGGACAGAAAGAAAGGAGAATCTACCAGTGCCAGTACTGCGACTACAGCACCGGGGACGCTTCGGGGTTCAAGCGGCACGTGATCTCCATTCACACTAAAGACTATCCGCACCGCTGCGAGATCTGTTCGAAAGGTTTCCGACGACCTTCTGAGAAGAACCAGCATATCATACGCCACCACAAAGATGTGGTGCAGGAGTGACTCTGACCGAGCCAAAAACTGTGCCACAACAAAGAACAATGTCGAAGCAACCATCACACCCCAAACTCTGCACCCTCAGCACCACACAGGCCACACTCAAACAATGTGGCGTGTGTGTGTGCTGCACTTAGTCCGTTCTGTTGTTTTGACCTTTTTTGATCGTCAGCCTAATGTTTGTTCAGAAATGTATACACATGTACATAACACAATGCTCTGTCCCGAGTTAGCAACAGAACCCCTCTGTAGACTTGCACTTTTAACTGCATGTCCCTTTGCTGGTGACGGTGTGCATGGCAGATTGTGCAGATGTCTCTTTGTAGATATACATTTTATTTTTATTTTGCAGGCAGCAATCAGTTGTCAATCACAATGGGCCTAATTATGTCTCAAGACTGTTCGATTTGCAAAACGTTTGCATCATTTTGTCATAATTTACTCAACAAAGCAGTATGGATTAGCAACATTCTCCCAGTAGCACTTCCTGGTGAACATCATGATTAATGCTGTAATCAAGTTATGTGTGATATGAATCGTGTGTGTATGAGCAGGCCTGTCACGATAACTACTTTTATTGGACAATATATAATCGTGGAAATGATTTTAATCAACAATATTGTAATTTTAAAAACTATTTTATGCAACTTTAAAATATAATATATTGTAATTCCCATATAGAAAGTTTAGACTTTGAAATTTCATTGTGAAAAAATATTAAAATATCTTAAATTGGATAAACCACAGAACCAAAACAATAACAAAAGTCAACTCAAGCTCTGATAGCAAAATGAACCTTGCTCAAATCTTAAAATGGTAAGGAAAAACTCGCCATTCATTCTGGATATAATGTTGGCGATATTCTTATGTTAAAAAAAACATGTTTATTGTTTATTGTAGCAAAAATGGACATTCAAGATTTTTATCATAACATATACACAACTACGGTGTCATTATGTAATGTATGACAAACTTAGATCGCAGGTTCCTCAACAGTGCAATTACAAGACATTAACATTTTTTTTTTTTTTAAACAATAGAAACAGTGCAAGCTCAGGTGTTTAATAGTCTTATTGCCTGTGGGATGAAAGTGTCTGGTGGTTTTTAGTCCGGATGCTGTGGTAGCGCCTGCCACAGTTTGTGGCTGGGGTGATGGGGGTCTTTTGTAATCCTGAGGGCTTTCTTCCTGAGCCGCTGGGAGTAACGGCCCCTACACACGGCGGCGTGCGTTGAAGCTTCAACGCTTCTGCCCATTCACTTTGAATGGGGTGACGTCACGCTTCGCTGAACTGCATTGTGGGAGCAAAGCTCGCTTCAAAAGTAGAGCAATGTTCTACTTTTGAAGCTTCGACGGAAGCGTCAGCAAATCGAATCATATGCCAGTACATAACCTCTAGCCAATCAAACCGCTGCTTGTGTGTCCGGGGCGGGAGATTCATGTGATTGGTTGTTGGTTGAGCGTCAGACATGCCCGCCGGCAAGCTTCAACGCACGCCGCCGTGTGTAGGGGCCGTAAAGGTCCTCCATGGATGGCAGCTCCGTCCTGGTGATGTGCTGTGCAGTTTTCACCACCCTCTGTAAAGCCTTACGGTTGAGGGCGGTGCAGCTGCCGTACCAGGCCGTGATGCAGCCAGTCAGGATCCTCTCTATGGTGCCCCTGTAGAAGTTGTACATGTCCATATATCTTACAATAAGTCGATATGTAATTATTGTGACAGTCCAAAGTGTGAGCGAGAGGAAGAATGAATGAAAAACAAAGCATCTGCTGTGCTTCCTGGTGCTCCGGCCCCACCACTCTGTTCGCATTTTAGTTTTTTGCTAAAAACACAAGGATTTATAATTATAATAATATATATATATATATAATTATAATTCTTGGCTTTGTACACAGGATCATGAACTCATGGATGTGTCATGATGGTGATGAAAGTTCACATATGCACCTCTATCACAATGCGACCAATACCCCGTCATACCTATGAGTTTTCAGTGAGTACTTTGAGTTGTTCAGAACAAGTGCCCAAAGCAGTAAAGACGACCCCCTGACTATTTTGATTCCAATAATGCTACCTAGAGAGTGAGATCCCGTTTGTTTGAAAAGGCTGATTTTGTTGTGATGACCATTAGAACTGATGACAAGCTTTTTCGGGCAGATGGTTTATTTTTCAATGATCATGTCGATACATCTATTAAATCCCAGCTTTTTTACTAAAACAGGAAAGGTTCACTTCAGCGTCCCACTGTCTGGCCTCATGAATCAAACAGTGTAACTGGAGCTGCTGTTATTAAAACTATGGACAGAATATTTGTGTCTCGCCCTCACAGATGTACTCTTGCCAGTGGAAAGGTATATCTTTTTAGATTCAACTTCAGAAGACAGGTGCTGGTGGTGTACTTGTACTATGGCTTTTTACCCTTTTGTTATCACCTGTGATTATTCCTGTTTTTATATTTATTTCATTTACAAGTTGTTGTATAGTTAAGTGTAACTAGACTTCTATGGGACGTAAATTATTGTTTTGTATACAAATCTGTACAAAGCGTGTAGATGTAAACACTTGATAACAAGGAAATCTGAACTGTGTTGTTATGGATGTACTTCAACGTATTTGTTAAAAAAGTAATAAAAGCAAAGTATTTTAGATGTTTTGTTTTCTATTTTCACACATTGTCGAAGGCCCACCGCTCAATAACTTGTTTTGAGAGATTTGACCTTTTACAGTGCAGGATTATTTTTCGTTCATACGGCTGTCTTTAAAGTCATTGCTAAAGGCCCAAACTTTCTGTGGTCACCTCAAATCAGAATTTTTTTCTGGTAAACAAGTTATGTTTACAGTCAGTCAGTGTAACTGTCTTTAAGGTCTGACCAGGGCATACAACCATTTATATACTGTTATTACATGGCTTAGTTGAATACTCGATTCTGATTGGTCAATTCAGAACACGTGACACGTTAATCCAGAACAGACAGACCGCTGTCAAGGATTTATTGACCGTTGTTAAGGACGCTCACATCTGCGGAAAGAAGTTCGGTCGATTTAACTGCATACAGTTTTGGCTTCGCGTCGGGCTCCTGATCAGCCTGTCGAGTGTTCTTTTCCCCATAATGACTGCGTCGCTGCACATTATCCCTTACTTAAAAATGTTCAAAGCCGAAAACTCTTAAAAGTTGGAAACCTGCATATCTTGTCGTTGGTGCACAATCTGGATTTTTTTAAAAGGACTAATTGAGCTTTATTGTGCAAAAAAAAAATCATCAGGCACATTCAAAGCAGAGCATTTAATGTCTCAAACATGTCTGAAGTACATAAAGAGTAGAACTGCTGGTGAATTAAAGCAAAGCATATTATACTGAAACCAGGCTTTACATTGTTTAGTGGCATTATTTTCTTAACACCACATCTGAAAGAGCAGTGTAAACAAAATAAAATGAGTATTGGCGTTAAACACCGATAGATGTAGAATATTCATGAAGTCTTCAGAAAGCTTGTTGACATACAGACACCGGAGCAGGAAGTTAAGCAGCTGGGCACTCCGCTGGAGAGGGGTAAAGAGAAACAGAGTAAAGCATGATTGTGCACCTTAATCACAGGTTGTTGGTTTTGTTTACAGGAAACCTCTCCATTTATATGAGACATACCATTTTTGGGAAGGAAAGCGATATTCTCCGGCAGGACACCAGTCCCCAAGGAGAACTGCCTGAACCTCTCCAGCAGGTCGGCGCTGAGCTCCACTCCACGGCCTGAAGCACCACAGGAAGTTAGTACATGACTGCATTTAGGATTACCGTTATAAAGTCTAGCATCATGGCAACTTTACCATATAGTTTGTTGACAACGGTGGGATCACTCCCTTTGGTTTTAATGGTGTGAGTCAGCGCGTACTCGTCATACTTCACATCCACCATCGACATGTCGTTCACACTGCCCCAGCCTGATGAGGGGAAGAGTTCATGGGAAAGCAGAAGAATTGTGGGTTTATTGTGATTGTTCAAGGCCTCTATGTGTTTAGTGTGTGTACATTGGTGCACTCACGGTCACTTGTGTACGTGAGCTTCCCGGGCACATTGGTCTGCTTGGCCAGGTTGTTCATTCTCCAACAGGAGCCATCAGAGCTGCCAAGAAAGCATTAAAGCATGACCTTACCTTTCCTATATTACCTCCTTGTATTCCTTGACATCTTGTATATCATGGTCATATGCTGCATGTTTGCAAAAAGGTTTTAACATTCGACCTGCAGTGCATTTCTTGTTCTCTGTTTATCTTGTGTTGTGTGCCGTTTTGTTTAAGCACTTTGAGCTGCACCTTATGTGTAAAAAGTGATAAACAACTTTACTATTATTTATTACTCAACAAGTCTAAATTTAATATGAAAGGTCAAAAGTGACAGTGCAGTGCAGGGGCGGACTGGCCCCCCCCGTTGACAATTTACTAGCGGTATCGAGTTTCCCGGGCTGATTTTTAGTCCCAGTCGGCCCCTGGTGCAGTGTGTGATATGAATAAAAAGCTTCAGTCTTGATTATAAAATAAGTGAGACTTGCAGCGGGCTAGTGGTTTTTCTGGCAGTTCTTCCAGACATATGTAGCATAATTACTAAATACTGCTTCTCCATGTTTAGTTGTGTCTCTTGGCTGCTTTCTCTCTCCTCACTTATTTACCTGAGACTGGCGTAGGACATGTCCAGGTCCCCATCAGCAGTCGGGGTCAACATGGCGGTGCCCATCTTCATGTCGGCTTTGCGGTTGACAAACCACTGGGCATTCGTGGCAAATCCTATCAGGTACCACTTCCCTGCCATCTGTGGACACACACAAGGCGAACAATAGAGTAAGTGTTGACCGGTTAGGTGATAGCAGCTTTAAAAAAAACATCACAATTCCTCTGAATGCAGTGGTTAAATGTACTGTTTAATATTGTATTTCATACTCCATTACTTCTATCTAATAACTTCAGTTTCTTTACAGATTCATATTAATTATACATAATACAGTCAGTAAATAATTGAACATGGACTATTACTTTAAGTTAAGACTAATTGTATGTCCCATTGGTTAAAATCACAAGCAGAACCTCCTACTTTACCTGCTGCAACATTAAAATGTTTGACACATTAAAGGTGGGGTAGGTCATTTTGGAGAAACCAGCTCGAGTCCGCTGGAATTTGAAAATACACAGCCGGAAAAAATCTGCCACTTCCTTACAGAGCCCCTCCTCCAACACACACGAACGTGCACATGACCAATGAGGGCACGAGATAAGTTTGTGCCCCGATGGAAGGCTGACAGGCAGGTAGGCCATCCAGTTACTTTAGCCGGGCCGGCTAAAATGATTGGTCGTGCTTTTTACAGTACTACGGCTTCCAGAGATTAAAAATGGTTATGGATTTTTTGTCAAAGCACTTAAGATATTCATTGCTATCGGGATGTTAAGAGCATTCCATGGAATATAACAAAAAGTGTATCTCGTGCCGGTTTCTCAAACTTACCTACCCCACCTTTAATTCATAAAAAAATATTATTGAATTTTACAAAATATAATTAAAACATTTCTCATTCTTCATTATGAATACTTTTAAGTTTGATACTTAAATTCTTCTAATGCTTTTGTACTTTTGACTGAAAGCAGGACCTGTAACAGAGTATGTTTACACTGTAGTAAGTATTAGTACTGCTTCTTAGGTAAAACAGAGCTGCCTAAATGTCACCATGCATGTTGCAAAGATATTACAAATACACAACATTAGGTACACAGCTGTTTGTACCATTTTATGCATGCTTTTTTATGCATTTAAATGTGATAATCGCCAAGTTGCACTAGCCAGCAAAATCAGATAGATAGAGTTTTAACAAAAATGCAAACAGGCACCATAAATCATTTTATGACTAAGGTTAAAAATACTGCTTATAATCCACCATGTAGTCCATCTCACCCCCTGTATGTTGAAGTCAGCCTGCGGTACGACTTGAGCAGAAACGGAGAAGGAGCAGAGCACGGCTCCCAGCACGGTCAGCAGGAGAGTCATGGCTACTGAGTGTTGATGACGAGCTATTGTTGAAGTTCTGCTG